ATGGAAACAGCTTGTTCTGCAAGAAAAATGAGTGTGCTGCTAGTGCAAACAAATAAACTTTTATTTATTTAAAATACAACCCCCTCCCCGCTCAGTGAATTACATGGGCAGATTTGCCCTGAGATGCTGTCTGATTTGTGATTTCTACCCCACCTAGAGCAGATACCTGTTTTAAGATAATTGTTTCTACAGCTGCGATCCTCAAAATATTATTACCAACTTATGCAATTCTGATGTCCCACTAAGGATAGCTGGCAAAAGTATAAAAAGAGGACTCTTTCCTTAGCATCTCTAATAAAGGAGAATATTTGTAGCTCAGGGTTGACATGAGGGGTCCTTGGTGCTCTCTGAACCTGCTTGTTTTCTTGCAGCTGTTTCATCATTCCAGATCAACATAGATCAGGAGTCCCGAACCCCTGGGCCCTGGCCCACTACCACGGCTGTGGCCTATTTGTAATTGGGCTGCGCAAGTGGCTGGCTGTAACATGCACTCATGCACGCAACTCAACTTGCTCGACCAGCGGGCTGGTGGGCACTCACACATGTGCATGTCAGCCCATTGCTCATGCAAGTCGAGCTGCATGCATGCCAGCTCACCATTCATACAAGGGCTGTGTGCCAGTCCTCCACTTGTGCGGCCGAGTTCCCTTCTCCCCCAGCCGAGCTGCCAAGCCCCAAAGGTTGAGAACTGCTGGCATAGATTAACTCCAAGGTTAACATGAGACCAAACATTGTTTGTTTTTGTTTTTATTGGATTTATATACCGCCCTATTCCCGAAGGACTCAGGGCGGTGAACAGCCACAGAATAAAACACATAAATACAAAAAATTAAAATAGAATAAAAACAAATTAAATAATTTGGCTGAGACAAATTTAAAATACCCAATAATTTAAAAACAAATTAAAATTTACATTTAAAAGGGGAAAAGATTTAGGCCAGGCCAGCTTGATGAAATAAGAAAATCTTGAGCGCGCGACGGAAGGTGCGCAGATCCAGGATCCTCCGTATCTCCGGGGGGAGCTCGTTCCAGATCGTAGGTGCCCCCACAGAGAAAGCTCTCCCCCTAGGGGCCGCCAGTCGACATTGTTTGGCTGACGGCACCCAGAGGAGCCCCTCTCTATGGGAGCGTACTGGCCGGTGGGAGGCTATTGGTGGTAGCAGACGGTCCCATAAATAACCAGGTCCTAAGCCATGGAGCACTCTAAAGGTGATAACCAAAACTTTGAAGCGCACCCGGAAGACCACCGGGAGCCAGTGCAGCTCGCGCAGGAGAGGTGTTACATGGGAACGCCACGACGCTCCCATAACCACCCGCGCGGCCGCATTCTGCGCCAGTTGGAGCCTCTGAGTGCTCCTCAAGGGGAGCCCCATGTAGAGAGCGTTACAATAGTCCAGATGGGAGGTGACGAGGGCATGAGTGACTGTCCATAGGGAGTCCCGATCTAGAAAGGGACGCAACTGGCGAACCAGGCGAACCTGATGAAAAATCCAATCAAGTAAACAATACCCCAATCAAGAAACTGCCAAAGACCAACAGTGGACTGCCCTACCAAAGAATCTCTAAGACCACCCTCCCTAACACAGACAGGGCAAGCCACCAGAATACCTATAAACTGACAACAAACTGCACTCCTTACTAGGGTAGTACTGATGATGTTACCTAGTTTGGGTAATGAAATGTCTTCAAGAAAACAAGAAAGCTCAGAGACCACCATAGCATCTCTAAATAAAAGCCACATTTTAGTGATGTATATAATTCAGCTGTGAGAAGCATTTCTTTTTCCTAATTTTGTGCATTCATACTACTTTCAGATAGCTAAGCAATTTTCTTCTCTGCTGATGAAAGAATGTGCCAGAAATTTGGGGTCAGAAAAGGCCAGGCACGAGATTAATGATCATGTTGTCTTGAGTCATAAAGTTTTCCTCTAAATCTCTTTTATTCCACAGTTGGGACAAACAAGGCAGAAAAATACATTTAGGGCAACTGTATCTCGGGAGATATGGCTGCAACACCGACTGTAAATCAGCTAAATACAATTGATTTAATTTAATCAAGGTTGTGTAAATTCAAGTCTAATTGAATTATAGCAATTAACCTGAATTAGTTATCTCTCAATCATCATGCTGGAGGGATTCATCCCCCTTTTAACCTCTTCGGTTGCTTAGTAGTTTATGGCTAATATGAATTTTTTAATCTTTAAATTTAGTACTGAGGGACAGAAAATGCGTAAACTATTGTAGAGTAATTTATTTGGAGTAAAAGATTGTGGTGAGGTGTGTAACAACATAGCTGATAGGTTTAGAAAACTGAAAATGGGGGAAAAAGCAATATTCTACACCCATGAACAGTTGGCTGGTATAGCTAAAATAAGAGCCTTCTTAATTAGGATGGTGAGTTTTAAAACCTTGGTACTTAAAATGCAATAATAGGAGTCCTTGACATTAGGATTATACTAGAGTGCAACCATTCTCCACTTGGTATTCTCCAGAAAGTTCTCATTTAGCATATCTGGATAAGATTGTTTTCTTAATGACAAATGTCAATGTTCCTTTGGTTTTAGACACGGGACTTCCTGTGTCGGAGGAAGACGATTTGAGTAGCCCTTTGTCAAAAAACAGGCTTGGTGGTGAAAAACCTGTGCCCATTTTTGGCGGCTATACCTACACCGTTGCCCTTTTCATTTGTTAATCTGTTTGAGGTTGGCTGGAATTAGAGTTTTGAATCACCTGACATTTGAATCATCTTCTCTTGGTTTGAGGGAGAATAATTGCTGTATTAGGTTGCATGTGTTACTTCCTCCTGGATTTTTGTTCCCTAGTGAACATAATGAAAATGCACGTTAACCATGAAGAGAAGCAGAAAATTGCATTGTAGTATAATGAATAAGGGATTCATCTCCTGTTTGATTGATTGGAAGTGTTCTCGCAGCCAGTTGGCACTCGTTAAGTGAAGGGGATAGAATATAGCATCGTAGGGCTGGAAGGGACTTTGGGGGTCTTCTAATCCAACCCCTTGCTCAAGGTAGGAGCCTTACACCATCCTACTCAAAAGGTTGTCCAGTTTATTTTTGAAAACCTCCAGTGATGCAGCACCCACAACTCCGGGAGACAAGCCATTCCATTGATTAATTGTTCTCACTCTCAGGAAATTTCTCCTTAGTTCAAGGAAATTTCTCCTTAGTTCAAACGGGCCCGTTTCCGGCCTTCCCAAACTTCCGGTAGGCCTGTTTTTTCCCCTCCCCGAGTCTCCGCGCGCGCCCTGCATTTACCTGCATCCAAAAGGGGCCACGTGGGGACTTCTCGGAGGGGTGGGGTGGGCGGGGCCAGCCAGGAGTGGGATTTGGGGGTTCTCCAAACTGCACAGAATCTTAGCTAGAGGTTCTCCCAAACCCCTGCAAACCCTCAGCAGCTCACTCCTGGTTGAATCTCTCTTTAACAAGCTTCCACCCATTACTTTTTGTCCTGCCTTCTGGGGCCTCTTCTCTGTGACAGCCCCTCAAGTACTGGATGATGTTGTTAAATGAATGGGATGATGTTCAATAGATTTCGCAGGATGAAAGAATCTAGGTTTTCCTTTTTGCCTGGGGAAAAAAAATATCTGTACACATACATTGATACCTACAAAGCCCCCTCTTCATTATATGTGTTAAGTTTGTGACCAACACAGCTGTCCAGTTTATGAACTGCAGAGCAAATAAGTGTCAGGTTTCGAGGTTGTCTCAAATAAATTGCATTTCAAACAAAGTCTTTGATGAAAAACTCCCATTTATTAAGCACGACATTCTAACTCCGACTCCATCGCAGCCAACACTGACTTCCAGACCCAAAACCCTCCCTTTCCGTTCCCCACTCCTCTGCACTCATTGGCCATCTTCCAAGTCACTCTACCCCTAATCTACTGCTCCAGCTTAAAGGAATTTCCCCCCCCCATCCCATCTCCTAGGGGATATTATCTCCAGGGAAAATAAGTAGGTGAAAAGTCAAACGTCCCTTTCCAGACGCCTCCGCTTCTTCTTATGTCAGCACTAGAGTAAATGCAGCTTGAAGTGCTGACAATAAGGATGCCATGGGTGCGCTTAATGTGATCCTCTGATGTTGCCGATCATATGGTACATTGGTTAACCTCTTGGACTACGGCAGGCCTGGTCAAGGTCCTAGTTTACCATCCATCATGAAACTCAATGGGTGATCTTGGTCAGCCCATTCAACTCAGCTTGAAGAGTTGATGATATGAAGCAAGGTTGGAGAAGTTTATGTTGCCTTGACTTTCTGGAAGAAAGGCAGGTTATAAATCCGAGGACTAAATAAGTTAATTAGGTAAAGGATTAGACTAAATGTTATGAAATCTCATACAATGAAAACATGGCAAACGCTTCATGTTGTGCTAAGAAACAAAATATGTTTTGTTTCACATCCCTGACAAGTGAAGTGGATGGTTTTGAAGCTCGGTGAAAATGAGCCAGGGAGACAAGAAATCTGAGAATGTCTGAATGAATTGCTGTTTTGTTTGGTGCTTGTGCTGTAACAGGTGAGGCTGAGGACAGAGAAGGGAGTCTTACCTACTTCTTGGTACTTCGAAATCACCAACAGTTGACAGATGCCCAGAGCTGCTCCGATCTGGTTTCATGATTATCGAGAAGTGACTGATCCTTGACAGAATGGTGTCTCTGTTTCATGGGCCTTTTGCGGTGTCTCCTGGGAAAAGTGGGATGATTCAGGAGTTGTCGAATTGCCCCAGAGCAATGGCAGCCTTCTTGTCAAAACCGAATCAGAGTTTTTGAACTGAGTTTGAGGGGGAAAGGGGATTAGGAGGCTGGGAGTGGGGTTAGGAATTGACTTGCCTCATTGCATTCCCTCCAGACTTTGTGGTTCCAAATTTGGGCGTGTGTTTATTTATTGCTATTGTGTATTTCTTTTTCTTTTTTGTAAGTTTCTTAATATTGTTAGATATGGGGGAATATTTGCATTGATCAAAGTTTTGTGCTTTTTCTCTTCCAGGGAAGTTATCCAATTTGGGAAGATTTCATAAATAAAGCGGGGAAACTCCAGTCTCAACTTAGGTAAGCTATTTTTCTATATTGGCACAGGCATTTCCATGTGGTAGCAGGACATACCTCGCTTTTTAAAAAATGGGTTTTCAAGAGTTGTAGACTGTTTGGAGGCATTACTTTGCAACCAGGCAGTGGGATTGGCTGTGCAAAGTTTGGGAGCAGTAAAAAAGAAACATGTTGAACAATGAAGTAGATTCCTTAAATATCACAAAAATTGAAGCATTCATTTTGGGCACTTATTTTAGGGGAAACATGAGAGATGGTAGCAGAATAAGGCTACTATGAATTGATTTATCCAGTTTTCTGATTTTTAATGTTTATTGTTTTTAATATTTTTAACATATAGGGCAGTGATGGCTAACCTTTTTGCCGTCGCGTGCCAAAAGCGGGGGGGGGGTCGTGCATACATGTCCACACCCATAATGCGCCCCCCCTGTTTATGCGCGCGCAACCCCCCCCACGACCCCCACTTTTGACACGCGGTGGCATGGTGGGACCAGAAGGCCCATTGTCACTCTCCCCAGGCTCCAGAGGCTTTCTTGGAGCCGGGGGAGAGAGAAAATGGCTCCCCCCCCCCGAGGCCCTCCAGAGGCCGGAAACGGGCCATTTCCTGACTTCCGGTGGGACTGGAAGGCCTATTTTTTGCCCTCTCCAGGCTCCAGAGGCTTTCTAGGAGCCTGGTGAGGGTGAAAACTGCCTCCTCCCCGTCCCCCCCCCCGGACGGCCTCCAGAGGCCGGAAACAGCCCGTTTCCTGACTTCTGGTGGGCCCAGAAGGTCCGAAAATCTGGAGCTGAGCTATGGCAGCGCTCACGTGCCCACAGATATGGCTCCGTGTGCTGTAGGTTCGCCATCATGGGTATAGGGTCTTTTAATATTTTTTAACATATAGATTTAACGTGTAGGTATTGGGTCTCCTGCTTTAGCAGGGGGTTGAACTAGAAGACCTCCAAGGTCCCTTCCAGCTCCATTCTGATTGATTGATTGATTGAAGATTCTGTTTTATATCGTTGTTTTATGATGTTGTAAGCTGCCCTAAGTTGCTTGATAGTGAGATGGGCAGCATATAGATTTAATAAATGAATTTTATTCGCGATTACATTCTGGGAGAATGCTCCAGATGCAATAAAGAAGGTACTTGGGGACTGAATATAGCCACAAAATTGATCGTTCGTATCATATATCAGTGTTTGTGCATTTTTAATTTTTGATTATCAGGCTTTTTCTTAAGAAGGCCGTGTTAGCTTTAATCTGTTGCATTAACAAGATGTAATCAATTTTCTAAGCATGGATTGTTTAACCATGGCTTGCTAATGAAAGCAGAATTACATGCTACCCTGTTTCCCCCAAAATAAGACATCCCCTGATAATAAGCCCAATCGGGCTTTTGAGCGCATGGCAATAAGGCCAAGCGCTTATTTCAGGGTTCAAAAAAATATAAGACAGGGTCTTATTTTCGGGGAAACACAGTAAGACATTCATTGTCATTGTCTAAGACATTCATTCATTGTAGTTTATTAACTACATTGCATTTTTCAAAAGTTGAGCAGGCAGACACCCCAGAAGGGGAACTTACAAGACAGGGTGGATTTGATTTAAATCGAGTTGATTTAAATCACAATTTAAATCATGATTTAAATCACTAGTAAAAAGGCTTGATTTAAATCAACTTGGTTTAAATCGTAGTTTTTAAAGAGCAACTGTCATCTCTGCTACTCCTTTGACCCACTGTTGACTCACCGATAGTCCCAGTGTTGCAGAATATACAGCCTCATGCTACATAACTAAGCTCCATTTCATGCTGAATAAACTAAATTATTTATGTATCTTAAATAGAAAACTATCTTACAATAGATTTTTACCCCAAAAGTTTTTTATTAAAATAAATTCGATAAAAATAAAAAAAATCCGATTTAAATAAAAAAAAATCTGATTTTTTTGATTTTTTAAAAAAAATCATTGATTTTTTATCCACCCTGTTACAAGATTTTACATTTGAGCAATGCTGGCTGTTTGGGTTTAAAATTAAAGGTAATTAAAGTTACAGTCTAAGTTAAAGGAAAAGTGTGATAGAAGTAATAGAAGAAAATATTTGTACCTCAGGGTTGAACTGTGGGGTACGTGGTACTCTTTGAGCCTGATCGGATTTTTTGCAGACATTTCATTACCCAGCTAGGCAATATCATCAGTGCATTACTAGTTGAGTAATGAAACGTCTGCAAGAAAGCAAGCTCAGAGAGTTCCAAAGATCCCACAGTGATAAAGCTTCTAGGCATACTGCATGGTTTTGATCCTTGTCTGATGCACTTACTGCCTTACAGAAGCTTTTTGTATCTTAATTGTCAGTAAAACTGATCTTTTTCCCAGCTGGCCAGCGGGAACTGAAAATTAGAGAGGAATGAATTATGCAGCTAGTGAATAATAGGCAGATCCGTCTTACGTCCTGTTTTTGTGAGGATTCGAACGCATTAACACCAAAAAAGGAAAGGAAAAGACATCGGTTAGCAAAATCTGGAATATTACTTGCTCCCTGGAATTTATTTTCCCTAGCCAAAAAATCAAAGAAAGAACCAAAGATTTCAATGGAGCCATGCAGGATAGCAAATGCAGACTCTGCTCAGTGCAGGAATCGGAATGGAAAACTTCCAGACATATGACTCCCCAGCCTCTAGTGAAGAGAAGCTATTGTTGAATTATTCTTACTCTTAAATATATTTTTTTTAAGTTGGGAAAAACTGCTAATTCTGTCTGGGAAAGAGTAACTTTATTTAGAACTAGTGGTTGGGAATGTTAATGGAAGAATTTTAATTGATGTCAGAAGCCAATTGTTTCTACGAATAAAGGATTGCGTATGAAAAATAGTTATGGATTGGCAGCTATTTTAGAGGAAGGGAGAGAACAAGGAAGCTAACATAGTATAATAGTTAAGGTATTCTACCAGTACATCATCAATCTTGGGAACTTTGGATTAGACCAGTGATGGCTAAACTTTTTCTCATCGTGTGCTGAAAGCGTGCTTGTGCACATGCGACAGTGCGCGTGTGCGTACCAACACCCATAATGCAATGTGCACCCCCTGCGCATATGCTCACGACTCCCCCTGCCCCCCGCTCCGCATGCTCATGTGACCCCTGCCCCTGTTTTTGGCCTAGCAGGCCCCCCTGCAGCCTCCTGGGCCCAAAAACAGGCCATGGGTGGGGGGGGCAGGCCGCACCACCACCCATGCCCTGTTTTGGGCCTAGCAAACCTTCCTGCAGCCTCCTGGGCCCAAAAACGGGCTATGGAGGGGGCACCACACACCCCGCGCTCCATCCCACCCCCCTGCGCATGTGCACGGGTTTCCCGCATGCGCCCCATCTCCCTGTGCATCCCAAAAGTCAGATGGCTGGCAGGAGGCACACCGGTCTGAGCTGTGGCACGCGTGCCATAGGTTTGCCATCACAGGATTATACCCTTAGCTCAACCTCACAGAATTATTGTAGAGAAGTAAAACGTTTTCAAGAAAGCCCAGTTGCCTTTTGGAAAAAACACCTCTGGGACAAAGAAGATTGCATGTTTCTTTCCACACCTATTTTTTTTTTTCCTTTCAAGTTAGTCTCCAGGACCTTGTAATTCTTGGCAATATTTTTGGAATTGGTTTATCCTTGCCTTCTACTACAACCGAGTAATTGACCTGAAGTCACCGACTGACTGGCTTTGTGCCTAAGGCAGGGCTAGAACTCACAGTCTCCTGGTTTCTAGCCAATTCTTTAACCACACCACCAAACTGGCTCTCCGTTTTTTTAAACTCATACTACAGAGCAAAAAGAACACGTAGGGCTGTGAGAAAAGGAGGACTAGGAGAAGCAAAGCTGTCTGGACATACAGTAAAAGCGGAGGTTTTACTGGAAAGAGTTATTGGTTCGACTGTCTCTTTGCTAAAAAAAGAAAGAAAAGAAAGAAAGAAAGCAAACAGTAATTAGTATACTTGTAGGTTTGCTCTGGATGGCAAGTATGAAAATAAGGGGGAACCACTGTAAAATCGGGAAATGAAAGTCCATAACACATAGAAAGCAACAAGAGCTGCTTTTTCTTGCTTCAGGATGATTTGATAGCAATTGCATCTCACTAATTTTGTGAGGGGGAAAAGGTGGCTCAGTGGCTAAGATGCTGAGCTTGTCGCTCAGAAGGTCGGCAGTTCAGCGGTTTGAATCCCTAGCGCCACTTAATGGAGTGAGCTCCTGTTACTTGTCCCAGCTTCTGCCAACCTAGCAGTTTGAAAGCACATAAAAATGCAAGTAGAAAAATAGGGACCACCTTTGGTGGGAAGGTAACAGCATTCCGTGTGCCTTTGGCATTTAGTCATGCCGGCCACATGACCACGGAGACGTCTTCGGACAGCGCTGGCTCTTCGGCTTTGAAATGGAGATGAACACCGCCCCCTAGAGTTGGGAACGACTAGCACATATGTGCGAGGAAAACCTTTACCTTTAATTTTGTGAAGCATCTGGCTATATCCAGGATTGTATGATCATTACAGCTACTCCTCGAGTTACAACTACAATTGAGCTGTTGTTTTAAGTGAGACATTTGTTAAGTGAGTTTTGTCCCATTTTACGACATTTCTTGCCACAGTTGTTAACTGAATGGTTGATAAGTTAGTACCACCACTGTTAAGCGAATCTGGCTTCTCCACTGATTTTGCTTATCAGAAGTGATCATATGACTCTAGGACACTGCAACTGTCGTCACTATGAACCAGTTGCCAAGTGTCTGAATTTTGATCACATCATCATGGGGCTGCTACAAAGATCGTAAGTGTGAAAAATGGCCATAAGTCAATTTTTCCAGTGCTGTTGTAATTTTGAATGTTCGCTAAATGAACTGCTGTAAGTCAAGGACTATGTACTGATTCACATATCATTGATTGTTGGGAACAATATGCTGACTGTAAACAATTTAGAGAGTACTATAAAGTAGTACTTTGAAGTGGTTTATAAGTCTTAAGTGCTATTGCTATTCTGAGCTATCA